GAATGAGAGAAGATTGGTAAAAATTTCAATAGATGATTTTATTTTCATTTTGAGAAAAAACCTCGCTTTAATCTGAAAAATTATATGGAAGCTATTAAGAGAACTCAGCTTTCAATCCTAATATTGAGGCGGGACAATGATTTCTAGAACTCAGTATTTTTAAAGTATTCCATGAGACAAGTTGTACTTGATTCGACAACTTAATTCAATTTTTCCTTCTTCTTTCATTTCACGAAATTTACAAATCGACGTCGATACTCTACAATATAAAGGTCTTGCTCAGCAGAGTTTAAACCTAGACGCTTTCGCATATGAATGATGCAATACGTTGCACAAGAGTTTGAAATAAGTTATCCTGTTTCTTGAGTAACTTTTTAAAGGTATCACGCGATGACGCGAGGTTAAGTGAATGAGACACATTATTAAAAGTGTTTCAGGACACAGATCATTTATTTTACCATAATAACTTCAATAAATAAATAAATAAATAAATTAATTAATTAATTAATAAATATAAACATTTAAAAGAAACACAAAGAGGAGTGACTACAACCATCAAATGGGTACAAATGTTACCAGAACATACATGTGAACCACATGTTACGTGTGGTTACTAGACATACAATTTTGATATTAACATATTTCACAGAAATTTTTACAAATTTTCGCCCTTATATTCCACGAAAAATAGTCATAATACACAACGGAAATGTTAAACATAAGAGTATTCTGTGACGAGGATTCTCACAAGCTGACAATACTGGATTTTGCCAATTTAAATTGTGTAAAGTAATCGATATCTATCAAAGAAGACCACTGAACCTGGAATCGATCATTCTAACTGAATTTAAAGAACGGAAAATGGTGTTTCTAGCCTGCAAGAACAGCCATTGGTATTAGTGGCGCGGCGTGCTTTACGATACATCGATTGATCTGCCATTTAAACCTATGAGAAAGGATCGATGAACAGGGTTTTTGAAAGGTACCAATTCTTTACCATAGCTTCAAATGGGAAAATATCGATAATCGATCATTCATGCCTCGCCACTGATCGGTATCCGATAAACACGTAGGTACGGTTGCTAATAGCTACTTTCGTTAAACGCAGTCAAACATTCATAAATTTCAGTTGTAAGGAAACAATGGAATTATAATTGTTTTGAAGTTCAAAGAGATGATTGACGAATAAACAGTTTGAATGCTTCCTGACAGAAAAAGACAGTTAGTATAACTTCTCATTTTTTCTGCAAAAGCATTGTGATGCATTATTTTTACCGAGACTGACATTTGTTACAAAAATTGAGGGAAGGAAGGGGGGGTGAGGCATCGATAAAGGGAGAATGATTTCACCAAGAACGACACAAATACACAAAAAAAGGATACAAGAAGCAGACAAAACGACAATAAGACACAGAACAAGAAAACAGTCGAGAACATTAGACGGGAGGGGGGGGGGGATACAAGGACACAACCTTTGAATCCTTGACATTATAATGTAAATTGACTCTTTCATTTTTATGTATGTCTGGAAAAGTTTAATCTGAATTCAGAAACCAGGACAAAAATAAGATGTTAATCGTTAGAATACAAAGTCCGGTTATTTTTACGACACTTTTTCGGGATTCTGATACGCTTTGGCGTGGGAGGATGGTGATATTTTCAGTCATGTCACCAAACGGTGATGGAATTTTCACTCACACGGATTTAATGTTCAGTGCTCTCAGATACTCGAGAAAGCTATTTTTATTCAGGAACATTATAATGAGGGACATCCATTGCGATTTTGTCTGTAAGTATAGGTGTCGCAGGCAAATCATTCCACCACGTGTCTCCTTTGGCTTACAGAAAATCACCCATTCTTAGAGGTACGATAAAAAAATCTCTTAGTAGGTTAATGATCGCTCTACACGAAAAGTTTCGGAGTGTCCTTTATCGAATCGGTTCAAAACTCAATCGATAATTTTAGGACGCGAGAATACAGATCATACATCGTCGTGAGATTCTTAATGGTACCGTAATACGCAAAAATCCACTTAGCTGTATACTACTACTTACTCCGGTAAAAAAGGAAGAGGAGGAGGTAAGATGAAATAAGAAAGATAAGAAAGGAGAGAAAAGAAGAAAGTAAGATAAGCAGCATAATAAAGAGAGAACATTGTTTTGAAAAGTGCTACAATGATGTAATGGACTTCTAACCCCCGTTTTACAATTTTTACATCTCTTTCTAAACGACTAAACCACCAGCACTCGCACACCGATACAAACAGTCACCGACGAGTATAATAACAATAACGAATATCACTCATTTTAAAACATTTTTACAATAAAACATCAAACTTAAACTAGAAACACAAAAATTAATACTTTGGTTGGAAATTTCAGGAATTGATTACACATCATAACAAATGAAAGGAAAGGAACTGCGCCAGTTTGCTGCATTATCTCTCAGGGAGAGATTTACTTTGCGGTGTTTCCGAATTTCCGCTCCTATTTTATTTTTCCAGAGAGAAACAATTCAACTTTGTGCACTGAAATGTATGCAGAATATTCTGCTAATAGAGAAGAAAAATCAAAGAAGTTGTCAAGAAATTATGTTGAATAGTTTCCTAAAGAAAAAATATAGTAGGAAGGGACGTCAGTAACGTAGCAAACATAGATAGGGGTTTCGTACTTTAGCCATCGATATAACCCTACGTCTTGTCCAATTAAGATTTAATTATCTTTGGATGGGAAAGGAACAAATAATAAGGCGCTGAACTTCTTAAAAACTAGAAAAAACAAGGTAGTGCTAAAAAGAGAAATGAACCTCGGAAGAAAAAATACAGTTGCACACAATACAGGACATGATACAGGACCTCACACCTACTCCCTTAATTTCATAATCTAGTTTTTTTTTTCATGCGTATCTCCCATTGAAAATAATGTGCACTTAAAGCTTTGATGAAAGGACACAATTGGGGAAAACATTAAAACTGCTTTCTTTCCTGATTCATCGCTTAAAGCTAAAAAAAAGTACAACGATTGACTACTTGCAGAGTTGAGAGAATGTGATGAATTACGAGGGAGGTCAAAAAGTTCAGACTTACAATTGTATCATTTCTGAAGATAGGTACCAGGATCACCTCAGTTTTTGAGAGATTGTCCTCCGGATACAAGTATAGAAGAACGAATACATGCTTCGCAAGGCTTTAAAAAACACACGGATCAATGATACTTCATCTTGAAGTTTGACCTTAAATTTAAAGCTTCAACACAAAAAATATGAGGATAATTTGTGCGCGATTGAAGGAGAGCATTCAAGGTTTATTTCTCACTATTCATACATCATACATTGTGGCATGCATGTGTACATCACAACTTAAAGGTAATAATCAGTCGACAATTTCTAGACAACGATCTAGGTCTCATTAGAAGTAGGGGAATTTTTAGGGGTAAAAAAAAGCAGGAAGCTCAGTGACACAAAGTCACAATATTAGACAGCCTTGAAAGAAGGATGGAACCTTGCTCTGCAATACGAACCTCAAAGGAACAAAATTCAAACTTTTTTATTTCTGCCAGCTTTTGATATAATTTCGAGTAATTTGAATAATCTAGAAGCTATGTGAAACGTCTGCCTGTACAATGCCACTTCAAGGTGGCATCGAGAATTTTCTTGCTGTGTTGGGGAAAATACCTGCTGCGTCAAGAGATTGATTGATTCCGCCACGTGAAATTTTAGTGCGGTAAGAAAATTTTGTGGACACAACTTAAAATAAAGGATCTTGCCGCAATAAGTAGTGTTTCCGTAATATGATGACAGTTTTTTTAAGCATGACATGAAACTGTCAAAGAAACAGTTTTATGTTGTAACGAACTAAGTAGATAATTTGAGGAGTATTGGTATGCATTAAAAGGTTATTCCCTTTTCATTTGTGTCTCGTCATAATCGGTGGTAAACTTGACTAATTTTATTTTTTGGTCCATCGAGGTCGGATACTAATGGAGAGTTTGCAGATATCAGAAATTTTGTTCATGAACGGGTTATATTTCCTTAGTTTTTTATATCAAAATACAATTGTAACAAAGTGATCAGAGAAATTTAAAATAAAAATTTTCAGACTTCTGTCGCACCCATTTTGTAAAAATTCCCTGTCTTTTAAAATAACCTCGACCAGAAAGAATTGTTCAGGATTTGGACGTATTTCTGTCAAACGGAACTATGTGCATTAAGACATGAGCTCTGAGACCCATAAGAATGTATGAATAACAAAGTTCACATCATAATGTACATAGTTCTGTTTGACAGAGATACACGTCCATTTTACAATCTGACTAGTAGAGAGGCTGAAGCTAAAAGACATGGAACGTACACATTTGCCACTTTCGTAAACGTCTTTTTTCCTGAATTTTTAGTAATCCTGTTTTTCTTCTCGACTTTTCCTGCTCTCTTGATCACCTTATATTCCCTTACTGTGACGTGAGCTTAGTTTATCAAGCATTTTCATTAAAAGCAACAACATTTTCTCCTGCGTATTCTCCATTTCATCGATTACTCTGTATGTCGATGGCTGAAGTGCAAAACCACGTATCTCTGTTTTCGACGTTGACTCCCTCTGTCATACTTGATTTTTTCTTTGGAAAACTATCCAACGTGATTTATGAAAAACTTGCTTGATTTTTCTTCTCTGTAAGCAGAATATTCTCAAATATAAGCTATAAAGTTGGCTTGTTCCTCCACGGGAAAATGAAACGATGGGAAATTTTGAAACAGCGCAATGGAGATACGTGGTTTGGCACTTAAGCCATCATCATTTCTGCCGTGCTAAGGAAGAACGCCGTATGAGCATTCAGGCGTTGCTAAATTTCCTTCAATAAAACGCGAATTTCCTGGTAAACTTGTGAATATTTTCCTCTCAATTTTTCAGGTAATTTTGTGCGCAATTTCACCTAGAGATTCTGAAAATTTCAAGGAAAAATATTCATAACTTTCCTCAAAAATAAACATTTTATCGGAGAAAATTTTGGCAGCACTCGAATGTTCATACGGCGTTCTTCCTTAGCACGGCAGATTTGGGGTCTACGTCCACCTGTGAAACGGAAAAGCCCCGACTAGTGGAGAGATGGTTGCCTCTGGTTGCGTCAGACGTAACTCTCACTGAGCCCCCGAATAGTACTATCACTATTCTGCTTGAGCAAGGAGGACGACATGGCGTTCCTGCGGTAGGAGCCGTTCCTGCAGTAGGACACCGGGGCCCGGGACTCCATGGAACTGGACCTCCACGAGAGACTCGGCGAGCCGCGGAACCTGGCGCTGGAGAAGGTGGTCGTGAGTGTACCCGTGTGACGTAGGAGCTGGAGCTGGTTGCGTCGCCGCGAGCGGAGGCAGCAGCAGAGCTTGCGGAAGCCGTAGCGGAACTTGGAGGACATGAGGTTGTAGAGGATCGGGTTGACGGCCGAGTTGAGGTAGAGCATGAGTCGGGAGAAGTGGAGGACCCCGTAGTAGGAGAGCGGGCGTCCGGACTTGTCCCGCACGTCCGGCCCGAAGAGGACCCACAGGGTCACCACGCGGAACGGCAGCAGGCAGACGAAGAAGGAGAGAACCACAGTAGCCAGCATGAGCACCACCTGCGGGAAAAAGTCAAAAACAAAATAGGAGACCCTTTATAAAATACGCAACGCTCTGCACTGCTAAAAGCAAGGAGTGAAATTCGGTGATCAAGTCCATAAACCGCCTAAAAACCCATAAAAATAAGAGTAGGATCCATTCCGTAATACTGCAAGGCACTCCGTAAGGAAAATACTGCCGTGCTAAGGAAAAACGCCTATGAACATTCGAGAGTTGCCAAATTTCTCCGGACAGAACAAGTCTTTTTGAGAAAAGTTATTCATATTTCTACTTGAAATTTTCCGAAATTTTAGATAAAAATGCGAACGAAATTGTCTGAAAAATTTGAAGAAAAATATTCACGATTTTCTAAGAAAATTCCGGTTTTATTGAAGTAAATCTGGCAGCGTTTAAAGGCTCATATCGACGGTGAAACTACCAAACCACGTATCTCGTTTGCGGTGTTTAAAAATCTACGCTCACATTTTATTTTTTTGAAGTAGACCAAATCAATACCATTCCTTGAAATTTTCACGGAATTTTCTCCGCACAAAGAGGAAAAATCACAGAAATTTTCAAGACTGGATGTTAAGTAGTTTTTCATTTAAAAAATAAAGTATGACAGGAAGTCTGCGACGTCGCAAACCGAGATACGTGGTTTGGTAGTTTCACCGTCGATATGGCGTTTTTCCTTAGCACGGCAGAATAGATTCCACTCCGCATTCATATCACTCGTGATGTTTGGGCGCTACATAGACTCCGGCACAGAAATTTCAATTGGAAACTTTTAACAGCGAAGGAGGAATGGGGTCCCAGTCTAAGTCACAAGGGAGGCGTTCTAAGCTTGCGTTACAGAGCGAGGTAGGTGAATTAGGTTGCGTTATGTAACGCAGGAATTAGGCCGGAACTAGGCTGCGTTATGCAACGCAGCTTAGTGGATATCAAGAAAAACAAGAAGACATGTTTCACCAATATTTGTCACTTTTTTAATACAAGTTTTAGATTTTTTGGTGACGCTTCATTTTTGAGATGTTCGGTTGAAGAGAGTGTATGGAGGACAAAGAAAATCTGGACCCCCACCCCCAATAAATTACCCTTAACGAGCTCTCCTTAACTGACATTCTCGATCGTAAGGCATCAATTTACCAAAAAATCTAAAAATTGCATAAAAAATGAAAAATAAAGGTAAAACGATAAAATGTCTACGGTGAATTCACTCTTGAAGAGAACATTACAACTTCCTATGTACCCAGATGTCTGTGGGTAACCTACGGACTCGGTCGAATTAACCGAAAATTTGATCTATAACCAAATCCTTCGGGTTGATTTAACTATACTGCAGTGCTAAGTAAATACGTCGTGCCGTTGCCAAATTTCTTCTTTAAAAATATTCATTTTTGAAGAAATCTTTGAATATTTCTCCATGCAATTGTCGGAATTTTTAGATTAAATTGGACGTATTTCTGACAGACGGAACTATATGTGCATTAAGACATGAGCCCTGAGACCCATAAGAATATGTGCAAAACAGGACTTACGTCATAATGCACAAAGTTCCGTTCGACAGAAATACGTCCAATTGTAAACGCAATCTTGTGAAATATCGGAGGAGAAATGTTCACGATATTTCCTGATTTGTTGAAGGAAATGTGGCAACGCCTCACAGTGGATTGAGTCAATTAGAGAGGTCGGACATGAAATGTTTGACTAAAACTCCAAATTTTGCTGTTTATTTCGTCACGTTTTAAATTTTTAGGGGTGTTCCTGAAACACAATTTTACAAGGAAACCAATGGAGCCACTTTCAGAACCTCAAAGTTTTGTGTAAACGGAGTTATAGGCGTTTAAAGTTTCCCAATTTCGTCCGACCTCTCCTATTGATCCGACCGCCTGATGGCACCTGCGGCGTTCTTACTTAGCACGGCTGTATAAGCCAAAGTAAGCATAAAGACGGAGATTTTAAGGTGTGTAGTATTTGTTTTACCTGTCGACGCGCGCGGTGGTTGTAGGAGGAGGTATCCTGGGGGGCCCCGGGGGGTCCGGGGGCGGAGGCCGAGGTGGGCGGGGCCATGAGGTGCCGGGCGATGACCGTGTAGACGACGAGGAGGACGCAGAAAGGGAGGATGAAGAAGAGGGAGATGGTCGCCAGGTAGTAGAGCTTCCGCAGGAGGGACTCGGCCGAGGCCCAGCACACCGGCACCATCGTGTCGTCGATGTACTCCTCGAAGCGGTACTCCATGATCAGCAGGATCGGGCTGCAACGAGAAAGGGTCAAAGTTTAACTTCGCATCCTAAGAAAAACCCACACGAGCTATGGAAAATGAAGAAGAGAGTCTGGCATGCATGCGGCGCCCCTTCATTTCGGGGTGATACCACATTAATTACGTAGAGGTTCGATAAGTTGTATCAAATATTTAATGAAGAAGAGAGTCTGGCATGCATGCGGTGCCCCTTCATTTAGGGATGATACCACATTAACTACGCAGAGGTTCGATAAGTTGTATCAAATGTTTAATGAAGAAGAGAGTCTGGCATGCATGCGGCGCCCCTTCATTAAGGGGTGATACCACCTTAACTACGCAGAGGTTCGATAAGTTGTATCAAATATTTTGCACGCGCTTCCGGTTAGAGTGCCTATACACGGGGAGACTTTTGGTCAGGTTGGTGCGGGAATAATGGAACGCGGTACTTCGGAATGTTTCCAACGGGGGTGGGAGGGGGAGGGGTATTTGGGGGCGCTTGAGGAACAACCCAACCGGTGCGTTCGCGTAAATTTCAATCTTGTTGTTTCGCCGACACGGATCGTGGGAACCGAAACGGGTGGTGTGTTGCACAACTCCAGAAGGACCGAACCGAACCGAACTTGCCCTCGAATTCAGATACGGACACACGGCCGACAAGGGTTCGCAACATGTCCAATGTGCATGTTTCGCGTGTACGCTCGGGGTCCCTGCGCATGTTCCACGATAATGACGAGGGGGGGGGGGGGGGGGTTGATTTTGTTATAATTTGGATGTTTGCTGCCTGAACTCGGTTCAAAATGCAATCCATCGTTGACTGTTAGTCTAATCGTTCCGCTCATTTCAATTAGCATGCGGCAGAGGTTGGGGAAGGACCGAATGAGATTGGTGCATTCAAGATATACAGCCAAATAAAAGGCAAAGACAGATTTATAAAAGGACAAAAACCATACGCGAGAAAAATTTATTACGGTTATTGAGATTGTCACCGAATCATTAGGGGGTACAGACTTTCTTTCATTTCTTTCTGAGCAAACTTGACTGACGGTGACTAAGAGGAAGGGTTAAGGATACACGTCATACAGAAATACAGAGTACGCAAATTGTGCATGTTGAAGTGCATTCCAGACATTTATTATGTGCTTAACATGATTTCCGTGCGATTTTATAAATTTTAAGTCTATACTCAATCGGCTGTGGATTTGCACCGGGGAAAAGCAGACATCTAGCCATCAAATGAAGTATTCTGAAATGTTGGTTTTATTTTTGATTTCATTGAGCAGGGAAATATATAAATGTTAAGGTACATTTCTGTCGTCGAATGAAAATGGGTCATTCCTTAAAAACATACCCTCCGGTCGAGCTAAAAAAAGTTGAGTCGAATTTTTACGCTAAAAGGAACTCTGCAAAAATTAAAAGGATCAAAGCTACCTCTCATATTATTATGTCTACTAGTCTACAATTGTCTAGACCACTAGTCTAGATGACTATAGTCTATGAACTAAGTACAAAGAATTTGCGTGTCTCATGATTCCCTTTTAATTTAGTTCATTTTTACACTTGCTTCCCTTGGCATGTATACGTCAAAATGGCCCTACATTATGGATAGATTTAAGAAAAACCTAAGGCAGACGTTTCGGCAATTTTGATACCACCATTCGAACGAAGTGATTTTGCATATTATGTTACAAATATTTATTGAAGGAGAACTGATGGCATGAATCTTAGCGGTTGCTACAATATTACACGTGAAGTATTGCTCTTTGAGCTTTCATGCGTTAAGTTATTAGCAATTAGTGTTATTGTTCTCCAAAATAGAAAAAAAAGGAAAAAGAGAAGAAGAAATAGTACGAGGAGAAGAAGAAGAAGAGAAAGAAGAAGCAGAGGAGAACCTCATGCAATATTGCAAAGAATCTGGCAAGAGTAGGTTCCTCCTTCGAAGTTCGTGCATAACTTTCTATAATCGAAACCCAGAATTGGATACCATGTCTGTCGAGCTAAAGGAAAATGCCGTATGAACCTCTAAACGTTGTCAAATTTCTTTGAATAAATATTTTATTTCCGAGGAAAGTTAAGAATATTTTTCTTCGGAAGCTTCAATTACTTTAGATCAAATCGAGGACGAAATTCTCCATAAAATAGGAAGAAAAATACTCCCGAAGTTCCCTGAAAATTTTAATTTAATCCGAGGAGGTTTGGCAATGTTGGAGGGCTCATATGGAATTCCTCTCAAACGCAACATAATTGGAAATACACATCTCGAGCATACACCGGTCCGTGCGCCGTCACTTGAAAAAGTTTGACAAAACAGGAATCAACTTGAAAAGCAGTTTCCATGCAGTTTATTCAAAAAGAGGAGTCTTGTGATTCGGAATTCTTAACAACATGCATTTCCGATCAACTCACGGGTTATAAAAGTCGATTTTAGGGATATTCGAAGGAATAACTTCCCCGTCGAGAGGTTCCGCGATGTTAGGAGTCAGCGGACCGAAGATAGCGTTTAGAGATCGGGATGAATAATTCACGAGGGAAAATAATTCAGGGAGAGTATTAGAGCATTATCCCTGCAACTGAATTCTCGGTTTCAATCGTTTCACCGCTTTGCAGCTGCCTCAGTTCGAATCTTGGCGGAAAATTCGCATGGCTCCAGTGTATGGCTCATTTCAATCCATGGATAGAAAATGAAACCGTCTCATCGATTTATTTTTAGATTTCCCAAGCAATAACTTTAGCGTATGTGCTTACTTAACAATGAATCTTATTTTGATTTAGATTAAGAGGATTTGTCAAACTCAAGTGACGTGGTCGAACTGACATACGATATATTGCATCGATTAGGTCAAAAATCTCGGCAGATTTTGAATTTTTGGCAAAACAAGGACAAAAGCCCCTGCGTATGAGCCTGAAGGTTCATTTTAAACCCAAAAATTGGCAAAATTCAGAGAAATGAAAGCAGAATAGTGTTTGGAAAAAAACCTCGCATTCGATACAGTAATCAATAGCTGATTCGAATGCGAAGTTTTTTCCGAACACTATACGAGGACTTATATGTAACAATGGCGGATGTGAAAAATTACCTTTTTGAAACACGCTCAAAAAACTGTTTCGGCATCAAAAAAATCTTGAGAAAATACTTGTGATGTGATCTTCGAGATCTGTACATTACGCCAGAGGCAAACATATTAAATTTGTGTGTGACCAAAGCAGTTTTTTAAGCGAGTTTCGGAAAGGTCATTTTTTACATCCACTATTGTTACAGATAAGGCCTCATATACTGCTTGCATTTCTCTGGTTTTGCCAATTTTTGGGTTTAGAATGAACCTTGAGGCTCATGCGCAGGGGCTGTCGTCCTTTTTTGCTAAAAATCCAAAATCTGCTTAGATTTTTGACCTAACCAATGCGATATATCGCATGCCAGTTCGACCACGTCACTTGAGCTTGACGAATCACCTTAAGTGTGAGTGAGGAAAGTTTGTGGCGATTCTCAACTTAGCATCAAAAAAAGAAGGACAATGCCCGACCTCGACTTCGTGCGTTTCTAATTCCGTCAAATTCTAGCTTGTTACTTATGAACACATGCGCTTTCGCTGCCGTAGACGAGAGAAGGTTACGACTGCCGTGTTACGGACGAAAGCCGTAAGTTGAATCCGGGATGAGCCTCGAAACACATAAGAGCTTATGCTAACCGTGGCTCATACAGAATTGCCTTGACGGCTCTCTTGCGTAAGACGGGAGATGATACTGTGCCTTCGGTGACGACTCGGGAGGGAAATGGTCCGTGACGAAAGAGATATGTTGCTAAAATCCTCGCCAACAATGAGGATTACGGATAAACACCCTCAATTTCCACCGGAGCGCCTCACTTCCTCTCGACACTTCAACGTCACGTCTGGTTTGTCAAGTATTCCGCTTAAAATCGTAAATTATTTCAACAGGGAGAACGAACGAGGGAGTTTTCTTCAAAGAAAAAAGTGCAACTTTTATATGCGCCATAAATTGCATGTATGTTTATGCACTTTAGGAATTAGAATCCTTGAATTGATTCTCCAGCGCGGAGGATGTTATCCGCACTGTTAAAAATCGAGGAGTGCTGGAGTCTAAAAGACGTTCGAAAACCCTGAGTGATATGAATTCGAAGTAAAATTAGCACCATAAAAGCGTTAGACACTCCGCAAAAGAGCAGATTCCGCTCCGTAATGGTGTAAGTCACTCCGTAAACACACGCTCCGGCACACAAATTCACTCAATAATTGTTAACAGTGTGGCCTACCTCGAGTATTGAAGGCGAACTAGCAATGTGCGTAATCGTAAGTCCTCTTTGTGTCAATTCTGCTTTTCCTACACTGAAACAAACGGTATGCTGTTTTAGCACCTAGGATGTCAAAAATGTGTCTGGTGATTCTAGGATGCTGCCTTGATTGCCTACGCAATTGAATTTGCATTCACAGGATGTAAAGTTAACTGCGAAGGCAGGAAAGGCAACATCTTTGGATCACCAGACACATTTTTGACATCCTAGATGCTAAAATAGCATATTATTTTTTTCAGTGTAAATTCCCGGAATCGAAGTGCCAGATTTTCGGGGCCTTATCAGTGGCACCAAATAGGTCCTCCCCCTACCCATATAGTTTCTTCTGAAGGTGCTCTAAATTGAAGCTACAACCTTCCAATTTTCGGGGAAATCATAATTTTTCAAAAATTTTGCCGATGGTCATGGGCTAAAACTTGTGTAAAAAAAAAAAAAACTCCCTAGTATTACCAGCGCTGCATTCCAGAATACACCCATGATGTCAAAGATAGTGATCCCTTAAATGAAAAGGGAATAGTGGCTTTTTGATCTTTTGAGATGATAAACTGGATTTCCTCAAACCTTCACAGAAAAAGCGAGTTTAGGGCTGGTACCTGCGCGGAAGGTCCCAGCCCTAACCGGGTAAGTAAAATTGCTTTACCATATACCCCATAGGGGCAGGCCCGGCGCGGGTAGAGCCCAAACCTACCTACTTCAGGGTTCAGCC